GCGTGCGTGCGTGCGTGCGTGCGGCCCCAGGCGTGCGGCTTCTCATTGCAGACCTACAGCCAGCTGGCTCACCCGATCCAGCAGGCCAAGGCTCTGGGCCTGCAGTTCCACTCCCGCATCCTGGATATCGACAGCGTTGATGTGAGTGTCTCTCCCGGGGGGTGTGCTCGTCACAGGCGCGCCCCGTCCCTGCAGGAGTCCTGACATGGGCAGGTGCTTGGGTTAAGGGACCTCCGGGGCCCCTTCAGCGGAAGCCCGTGGTGGGAGAATTCTTAGGCAGGTGGCAGACGCAGGGGGTGCTGCTGCCCAGACCTCGGGGCCCCCAAAGGCAGTATTGCCCCTGCGCCTTTACTGGGAAGGGGGGCGCTTTGTCAGGACTACTTAGGCCCCGACGGTCCCTATGGGGAGCTGGAGACACGCCAGCGCACGCTTCCCTCTACCCCTGCCTGTGTGCACGACTGGGCCCTTTGCGGGGGGCCTTGATGTGGCCGCCCAGCCCAGGTCTTAGCAGTTCAGACAATGGGTCACATTGGGAAGGGTCTCGTGGGAATCTCCCACCTGGAAACGGACGACTGGACTCCTCAGCCTCCTTCCGGGGCCTGGCCCAGCGAGGGGCACGAGGGGGGTGCTGGGGCCGCTCCCTGGGAAACGGGGATCTGCACCACAAGGGGAGCAGCAGGGAAGGGGTGTGACCACTCTAAGCCCCCTCCCCCCCCTCCCCCGCAGCTGGCCATGGGCAAGATGATGGAGCAGGGGCCTGTGCTGATCATCACTTTCCAGGCCCAGCTGGTGATGGTGATCAAGAACCCCAAAGGCGAGGTGGTCGAGGGTGACCCGGTGAGTGCGAGAGGAAATGGAGCAGCACGGGCAGGTGGCCATCTTCAGCTGCCTTGCACTTTGGAGCCAGGAGGTTTTGTGACTGTGCAGAAACAGCAGGGCCGGGCTTCCAGAAGTCTAGGGTCCCAGTCAGGCCTGGTGGAGGTCAGAGGGTGACTGACCTGTCTGGTTGGGCCAAGTCCTGAGTTGCAGCCTCTGGAGCCCAGAGCCAGGCTGACACCCCCAGCCCCACTCCCTGGTCCCTCCTGGTGTCCCCTCTGTGTTCTGCCCTGCTCCTCTCGACAGCCCCTTGTCCCCAGCCCTCACCTTCCCCACCCCGGCAGGAGAAGGTGCTGCGCATGCTGTACGTGTGGGCGCTCTGCCGAGACCAGGATGAGCTCAACCCCTATGCAGCCTGGCGGCTTCTGGACATCTCCGCTTCCAGCACAGAGCAGGTCCTCTGAGCACGGTGGCCGCGGCCGGGGGCTCCTGGGCTGGATCAGCACGTGATGGACACCCAGAGGACTGGTGTCTGCCTGCAGCAGCTAGACCTCTGAGGACAGGACTGTCGGTTCTCTACCAGGGTGGCACGGGGAAGGGCGGGCAGCTGCCGGGGCTTCTCCCCACAGTGCCAGCCCCCGCGCTGCCCCTTGGCCCCGCGGGGCTGCTGAGCGAGGTCACTGCGGTGCACAGGCCCGATGGTGCCAACGGGCCCCTACCCAGGGACTCTCTGGAGGCAGAAGGACAGGGCCCAGGCCCCCGCCACTCAGAGTGGCCCACTGGCCACTTCAGCCAGGGCATTTTGGCTCCGTTTTTTATTTTAACAGTGCCCTTATTATCCGTGTGTATATGCCTGCGATTTGGAAATAATAAAACACCAAAGTGCAGGAGAGCAACTTGGGTGGTCCGAGGTGTCTGTCACTGGGGTGGGGCGGGAGCTGACCAGGAGGTCACAGGGAGGTGGTCAAGGTCACTGAAGGAACTGAAGCTCTGGAGGGGGCAGCCTTGCCTGGTCAGGACCCTGCCCGCCCTTGGGTGACCGAGACAAGAGCTAGGGAGTTTTCAGTAGTCTGGCTGGGGTCTCGGAGGGTTGGGGTTCCTAGAGCTGGAGGAGCTTGAGTGCCAATAGGAGTGATTTTTGGAGGCATTGGGATCCGTCCGCGCAGGACATCTGGTCGAGGGGTCTATCGCAGAGAATGAGGGGAAGGTGCGGAAGTCGGGCTGGGGTGCTTCTGGGGTGGGGTGGGCGAGGTCCTCGGTGCTGAGACTCCCCGCGGCCGGGGTCTCCCGGCGCCTCTGGGTGGGAGCGCCGTCCTCCCGGAGGCCGGGGCGGGGTCGCGAGCCCGCGCACCGCTCCCTGCGCAGCCTCCGCCCC